GGCGAAGCAGCCGCGCGGGAGAGATGCTGGTGCGTCCGACACTGTAGTTGACAAGCCCTATACAGTTGTTATCTACAAACCTTCTTTGCTGTACTCATATGTCGCCGCTCCATGATTGCACCAAGACGAAGAATCTCGTCAATGTTAACTCGAAGGCGGTCACCTAGATTTGCATCAATCATGATTGAATGATACTCTTTGCTAATGCATGAGATACGCGCTTACCCACTGCTGGCTCCTGTGTTTCACGCACCTTTCCAGGTACTTTTGTAGGTAAAGGAAGTCCACTCACGGAGACAGAAACGGACCCCTTTTGCGATACAACCTCAAACATTATACGTGTTGTTGATTTTACAATGCATCGAATCAAAAACCATGATTACCTTGTGTTTCGGCACAGATTCATCCTCTTGGGTTCTTTGTAGCGGTGGCGATAACTTTCCACGCTCTGGTGGTTTCTCAGGTTTGATGCCGTAGATCTGCATCAAAGCTGCTCTTAGAGCAGAACTATGGTTTTGAACAGCACCATACTTTGTCTCGCAAGCCTTCGAGATCAGCCCGACGCACTTCTGCTGGTCCTGTTCTAAAGTAATCTCCAGATGGTGGTGGTGGTGGTGGCATTGGAGGTAAGGATCCTTGCGATTCGAAAGCAGCTATACCTGACATTCTATCATCCGATTTCCTAAACGATCGACCACCAGATATTGATGGTAGCAAGTCGTCGGTGCGAAGCCTTACTCTCAGCATGCTTACAAAAACTAATTTTCATAGAGCAAGGGTATCTTCGCAGTTTTCAAATTTATGTTTGTACTTCTACGGGTCAGTAATATACGACCACTTATGTGCGAACAGCATAGCATCACTTCGGCAAAAGCATGAAAGTCTTCGTTTTTTTGATTTCTAGTCGAAAAAAAACGGCAACTGCGTAGATAGACGTTTACGTAAATTGTGTTTACGTGAGCAAGTTGAATTTTTTCTGAGATTTGCATGAATGATTACGACATTCTAATTTCGGACAGTTGAATCTTTGTAGTTTCTTATTTGAATCCAGTGATGGACCAGAGCTGGTGCAAAAGCAAAACTGCCATCTTGTAGAGCTTGCTTTGCT